GATTAACAGCTTTGGATCTGATAGCCTCTCCAGGGTACTGTGTTATAACTTTTTGTTCATTGTGCGATTCATAGCAATCCCAGAAAAATCCCATCTGCAATTTGAGCTGTCTCCATGAGCCCATAATCAAGCTCAGAGAGCACACACAAACATCAGAACAGTAACCTCAGGTGTATTTCTGGTAAGTTGTTTCTGTCACCTTTAGTGGCAAACTTAAGATATCATCCTAGGGATTGAGTTGAACTGACCTTGGTCCTGTGTCTTTCTTTGCACCAAGCTAGCCCCAATCATACATTTAAAGACAGGAGAAAAAAAAACAACCTTACCCTAATATAAACCAAACCACCATATGGATTTATATTGCACTTCCAAACACCAAGTAAACAGCCATACTGGTGTAGCACTGGAAAAATTATGGAAAATTTACAAAGCAAACAAAAATTAGAACGAAATATAGTTAATATCAAGCTGTAATGAATTTAAGTGTCATTTAGGACCTCACTTACAATGTAGGGCACTTTGTCACAGTTTGTAATTGTGAAAATGGATGATGTTTTCAGAGATCTATGTTAATCTCTTCCTCACATACACTTACTCATTAATCTATATGTATAGCGCATCAAAGAAAAAATCATTAACCTCACCCTTGGTACTTGGTGTTTTTCTATCTAAAAGAGTATCATTTCTAAATTTACTTCTGATCAAACGCAATTTTTGAGGCTACAAAAATCATTTCTAATATAATAATATTGCCAAGGATTTTAAGAATAGCCTGTTACCAGACGTCTAACAACATCAATGTGACCTCTTTCCACTGTTTGTTTAGGTTTTGCCTTACAACCACTTTCTGCGCACTACTGCCTCTTAAACCATTGGCAGCTGTTTAATGTGGAAAAAGGTATTGAAACCCTACATTACTATCAAGAATAAGCACAGTACTCCATGATGATAAGTATATTACAGCTCCTCAATTTCCTTCTCTCAAAACAAAGTAACTCTGAATTTAATAATGTGATGGACTTGATAAAACTCTACCAATAACTGGCTGCTACTCGTAACATTAATTTCTTGATATTTAACATTCTGTGATCTTTACATTTTTGGCATTGCCATTTCCTCTTTGAGTCGATTGCCCACTCTTGTTCTCCCCCCTCTTGAGTGAGACGTACTTCCTCATCCAACTCATCTATAACAACAACAACAACAACAACAACAAAAGAAAGAGGTATGGTAAAATCAAGGGATGTCTCGTCAAGGCGGAGCAAAGATCACAGATATACCATAAACAATACACTATAAATAAGAACCCTAATGCTTCATTTTGCAGTGATCACCTTCTTCTTTTTCATTTTCAGACCAGACTGGAACCTCCATAGGCATGTTTACTTGTTCTGAGTGGAAAAAAAAGAAATAGGAATCAGCGTTGTAAACTTTTCTCCACTTATCTGTCTTTATGTGGACATTTGCCGGGTCAATTCTTGAAATGCGGTTTTTAACCGTACCTCGAACATGTGCGTGCGCAGGTCAGATGTCCTAAGGAAGTATCGTCGGTTTGTGTCTTGTGCTGATCATCTCGAAACAAGATCTCTTTCACAAAGAGTTTCAAATGCCGTCTCTTTTCATATATTTCCTTAACTCCTCCCGCAACGAGCTCGTGGATCCCCTTGATGATATTCTCATCAAGGGTTTGAGATATTCCAGCGACCTATAGAAATAAAAAACTCGAACTGTGAAAATGCTCGCTATTTCAAGTGGGAACGCCCCAGTAATATACACCTATACATTATTTACTCCTTTGCCATTTTTTGTGCTATGTGAATGTTTGAAATTATACTTTAACAACAACAAAGAAAACGAAATAATGGCAAAAAATGTACAGGCACATTTATGTCACACTTTGACCGGCTTGCCCTCCGCGTACTTAATTTTCATTGACCGTTGCATTAATTCATGTTGAACACTAAGTTACCTCGCCAACAAAGTGATTCTGATGGTCTGTAATGAGAGTTAGTTCAATGTAAATCCTTCTTTCGTACTTAGCGATCCCTTGTAAAGCTTTTCGCAAATTTCTAGACGGAGTCTTCCATCTCTTCTTGCTGTCTTCTTGAATCTGAAAGACTAAAAATCATACATTTAAAGGAAGAAAATGGATGCCTTGTAACAGTAAACTGAATGCCTCTGATGTAGTGCACAAATAAGCTTTTCCCGCTGCTTCAACTCAACTTTTCTGCCAGGTTTTAAAATTGATTCACGGCGTTTATGTGGCTGGAAAGACAACTTGGTGCTGGCAGTGTGTTAGCTTTGTTTGACCACACGTCCCAGACACAGAGAAAAAACATCAGGAAGCTCGAAGTGTCTTGAATAATCAAAAACGAGACCACCCAGTTTCGTTCCAGTCAATAAGCCGGTGATTATGTAGCATGAATTTTGGACAGTGATAACGCTTATCGGATTTATTAAACCGAATTCGTTCTGTCAATACATGGGGGGAACTACCTAGTGCTCTGCAAAAAATAAAAGTTCTCACATTTTTATCTGTACTTGCAGTCAAACTTCCCCGTGTCTTGAACGAGAAATCTTCTTCTCTTGAAAACGAAATCTTTGTGACCAGCCTTCTGTAAAAGACAAGTATATCAGCGTAAGATGAGTGATATTGCATTTCTCAAGCTGTATATTTTTTGGAATGTGAAGAAACAAGTGTCATTGCGTGATGCCTTGAAAGATAAGGAGCCGACATACGACAGCTTGATAGAAATAAAAAGCGTAGAATTGCGTTTATTTTCTCTTTTGTCAGCAGCATACGTCAGTGAAAGGTTTTTATAATTGGTAAGTTCTAAACCATCTTCAATTTAGCCGAGATTGAAGTGTTATCGCGTTTGTCATAAAAGTATTCTGAGATCAATGTCATATGACCCAGTGATCGATGTGTATCTGACCTTTCGGGTTCACAAGCCATAGGTGACAGTAGTAACACCAATGTCGCGGATGAGAAA